ATTAAAATAAATAAATAATTAAATAAATAAATAATTAAAATAATTAAAATAAATAATTTAAAACGTTCAGAACGATTTAAAACTCAACTGCAGCGAAGCAGCTGACTGGGGCTCTCGGGCCCCCAGCATTTGCTCTGCGACTTGCTGCTGCTGCTGTTGCTGCTGCTGCTGCTGTTGCTGCTGTTGCTGCTGCCCTCCCATTTGCTTCCGCGCTCCCTGCTTCGTGCTGCTACTTTGCTCCGTGCCTCTACTGCTGCCACCGCTGCTGCTGCGGCTACTGCTGCTGCTGCTGCTGCTGCGTTCCTGGCTGCTGCTGCTGCGCTCCTTGCTGCTGCTGTGTTGCTTTTTGCTGCTGCTGTGTCCGTTTTTGCTGCTGCTTCGTCGCTTTTTGCTGCTGCTGCGCCTCTCGCCGCCGCCGCTGCTGCAGAGTGCGCCGCGCTGCTGCTGCTGCTGCTGCTGCTGCTGCTGCAGGAGTCGCTGATTCGGGTGCTGTTCAGCACTGAGACCTTCAGCATGGGAGTCAACATGCCCGCTAAGACTGTTGTCTTCACCGCAATTCGCAAATGGGACGGAGAGGCCTACAGACTCATCAACGGCGGAGAGTACATCCAAATGGCCGGCAGGGCGGGACGGAGGGGCCTCGATGACAGAGGTCAGCTGCTGCTGCTGCTGCTGCTGCTGCTGCTGCTGCTGCTGCTGATGCTTCTGGTGATGGTGATGCTACTGCTGCTGCTGATGGTGCTGCTGATGGTGATGATGCTGTTGCTGCTAGTGATGATGATGATGCTGATGATGGTGATGATGCTGATGCTGCTGCTTTTGCTGCTGCTGCTGATTGTGATTGGTGCTGCTGCTGCTGGTGATGGCATAGCTGCTGTTGCTGCTGGTGTCGGCTCTGAGTCTGGAGCCCTTCTGCCAAGCGTCGTTCCATTACATCCCACAACTCAGGGTTTAGGGTTTAGGGTTTAGGGTTTAGGGTTTAGGGTTTAGGGTTTAGGGTTTGGGGGTGGCGCGCGCAGGCATTGCGATAATAATGTTTGACGAGCAGGTGGACCCGGAGGAGGCGAAGGGTTTGTTCATGGGAGGCGCAGCTCCTTTGATTTCAACTTTCCACTTGGGATTTAATATGCTTTTGAATTTATTTCGAATTGAAGATGCAGATCCAGTTTACATGATTTCCCGCAGCTTTGCAAATGTGCGTTGCTGCTGCAGCGCAACTTGAACTGCGCGGAAAGCTCGCGAGTTGCCGCGAGTTCAGCTTTTTAAGCCAAGTTTGAGCAGTTAAATCCTCAATTTAATCATTTAAATATCCCTTTTTGTCATTTAAATCCTCTCTTTAATCGTTTTAATCAATTTGCAATCCATGGAGTGGCCTGCTGCTGCACAGTTGGGCGGCGGCGGGTGCAGCAGCAGCAGCAGCAGCTGCTGCTGCTGCTGCTGGTGCTTGCTGCTCTGCTTGGGGCGGGCTCCGAGTAGCTGCTGCTGCTGTTGCTGCTGCTGTTTGTGGCGCTGCAGTTCCAGCAGCACGGGCGCTCTTTGAAGCTGCAGCAGGAGCTGCAGCAGCTGCAGCAGCAGCTGCGAGCAGCAACAGACATTCGCTCTCTTGTGACTCTTCCTGAAGGCGAAAAAGAGCCGGACTTCGACGTGGAAGAAGTGCGCAGCTGAGCCCCACAGATCCGCCCCAGCTAAACCCTAAACCCTAAACCCTAAACCCTAAACCCTAAACAATAAGCTCTAAACCCTGTGTACAAGTGGCTAGGGTTTCGGCAGCAAGGCCGGCCGCGCAGCTGGATAGGATAGGCGCGCGCGGCCGCGCAATTGTCCGCTGTAGCAGCTGCTGCTGCCGCTGCTGCAGCAGCAGCAGCTGCTGCTGCTGCTGCTGCAGCCTTAGCTGCCGCTGCAGCTGGGGCTGGTTGCTGCTGCTGCTGCTGCTGCTTGTCTCAGGCAATAAGCAGCTTCTACGGGCGGAAGCACGAGCTGCTGCAGCAGGGGCGGCTGCTGCGGTCCATTGCGATGCAGCCGCAGCAGCTCGCGCGCTTTCTGCAGCCGGGGCGGCTTGTGGGGCTGCTGGAGGACGACGGCACTGAGTGGGGCTGGGCCACTTGCGTGCAAAAGGTTTGCTGCTGCACTCCACTTTGCTGCTGCTGCTGCACTCTTTGCTGCAGCTCCACCTCCACTTTGCTGCTGCTGCTGCACTCTTTGCTGCAGCTCCACCTCCACTTTGCTGCACTCTTCTGCTGCTGCTGCTGCACTCTTTGCTGCAGCTCCAGCTCCACTTTGCTGCACTCTTCTGCTGCTGCTGCTAAACTGTTTGCTGCAGCTCCAGCTCCACTTTGCTGCACTCTTCAGTTGCTGCTGCTGCACTTCGCGGTTGCTGCAGCTCCACTTTGCTGCACTTTGCTGCACTCTTCAGTTGCTGCTGCTGCACTTCGCGATTGCTGCAGTTTCCACTTTGCTGCACTTTTCAGTTTGCTGCACTCTTCAATTTGCTGCAGTTTTCAGTTTGCTGCACTTCTTTCGATTTGCTGCACTTCCCAGTTTGCTGCACTTTTCAGTTTGCTGCACTTTTCAATTTGCTGCAGCTTCTAGTTTGCTGCACTTCTCAATTTGCTGCAGCTTCCAGTAGCAGCAGCACTGAAGTTTCATGCGGAAAGTGCTGCTGCTGCTCCGGGGTGTACAGACACCCGCGCTCTTCCTAGCGGGTTGCATGCGGCGTTTTTGGCGCTGCTGCTGCGCCCGAGTGCCTAGGGTTTAGGGTTTAGGGTTTAGGGTTTAGGGTTTAGGGTTTAGGGTTTGCTGCGTGTTTTGCAGCTTCAAAAGCGAAAAGTTCCCTCCACAAATGCCCACGAAGGACCCACTGAACAGCTGCTGGTCCACTGCCTCGTTAGCTGCGACCCTCTCTCTGTGCAGCCCCTCGAGCCCAAGGGGGCCCCCGGGGGCCCCCCAGCAAAGGGGGCCCCTGGGGGCCCCCCCGAGAAGGGGGCCCCTGGGGGGGCCCCCGCACCCATTCGGCCCCACAAGCCCCGCCCGGCGCCTCCTGTGGGGGAAGAGGGCAAAGACTACGTGCTGGAGGTGAGGGCCCCGCTGCTGCTGCTGTTGCTGCTGTTGCTGCTGTTGCTGCTGTTGCTGCTGCTGCTGCTGCGCAGCAGCAGCAGCAGCCACGTTCGTCAGGGTGTATAGAGCGGGAAGTAGCGAAGAGAAGTCGCACATCTTTGCTGCTTCAACAGGGCTGCTGCTGGCGTTGCTGCTGTTATTCCTGCTGCTGCTATTGTTGGTGCTGCTCTTACTGGTGCTGCTGCTCCTGTTGCTGCTGCTGCTGTTAATGCTGCAGCTGCGGCTATCGCTGCTGCTGTTGCGCAGCAACTGCCCTGCTGCAGCCGCGGCTTTTGTCGATGCTGTGCTCTCCCTACCACTGCTGCTGCTGTCCACGCCGGCGCCGCTACTATCGCTGCGTTTCTTATTGCTGCTGCTGCTGCTGCTGCTGCTGCTGCTGCTGCTGCTGCTGCAGGTGGTGCCGTTCAGCGTGTCTTGCGTGGCGCGAGTCAGCAAATGCAAAATGTCGCTGCCAGCAGGAGGAGATGTGGATTCTGCAGATGCTCGAAGAAGCATTAATTTCCAGCTGCAGATAATTCAGGAAAAATTCAAAGTGAGAAACTTGCTGCTTCCAAAACCTGCTGCTGCTGCTGCTGCTGCTGCTGCTGCTGCTGCTGCTGCCCCTGCCGCCCACCCAGGGAGCCCCTGGGGGCCCCTCTTAGGGCCCCCACCTCTATTGGCTGGGGGCCCTTGGGGCTGCGCTGCAGCAGCTCCATGACTTCTCTGGAGCTGCTGTTGCTGCTGCTGCTGCTGCTGCTAAAGAACTGCTGCTGAAAGAGCCCCAAGGGGTCGAGACGCCTGTTGCCCCCAGGCTGCTGCACTGAGAGGCCTGTGCTGCGGCTGCTGCGATGCGCCAAAAAGTGCTTCTGCTCATTGCTGCTGCTGCTGCTGTTGCTGCTGCTGCTGCTGTTGCTGCTGCTGCTGCAGGACTGCGGCGGCTTGCCGTTGCTGGATCCCGTGGTGGACATGAAAGTGGACCATCCGCAGCTGGCGGTGGGCTAGCTAGTTAGCTTAGTTTGCAGCTGCAGCAGCAGCAGCAGCAGCAGCAGCTGCTGCTGCTGCTGCAGCTGCTGCTGCTGCTTGCATCAGGGCTCGTTGCGTGCAGCTCGGCGCGAGGCGAAGGCTTCAAGTGAGGGTTTGGGGTTTAGGGTTTAGGGTTTAGGGTTTAGGGTTTGCGTGCAGGAGCTGGTGAGCCGGATGGCAGCTTCTGAAGCAGCTCTTAAAGAAAACCCTTTCAATGGCCATCCGCTTTGCGCCCTTTACTACGCAGCGCAGCACAAACGCATGCAAATGCAGACAAGACTGCGGGAGATTCAGGCGGAGCTCGAAATGCAGAAAAAGACCGCCATTAAGGTAAACCTCCTTCGACTTGTCGCGAAAATAAGAAATTTAACAGCTTTTAAGTCCAAAGTGTTCAAGTTTTGTTCTCAATTTCACGCAAAAGACAGATTAAACAGCCTTTAGGTCTCAAGAAGTCCGAGAAAGTAACAAATTTAGCAGCTTTTAAGTCCAAAGTGTTCAAGTTTTGTTCTCAAGTTCACGCAAAAGACAGATTAAACAGTGTTTAGATCTAAGAAGTTCGAGGTTTATTCGTAATTTCACTCAAAAGGTGAATTGGAAGGCTTTTAAGTCTCGAGAAATTCAAGTTTTATTCTCAATTTCACGCAGAAAACATATTAAACAGGTTTAAAGCCTCAAGGAATTCAAGTTTCACTCACAAGTTCACGCAAAAGGCAAATTAGAAGGCTTTTAAGTCCCAAGAGATTCAGCTTTTGCTCACAATTTCACATAACAGGCATTTTATGCAGCTTTTAAGTTTCATGAAGTTCAATATTTATTCAGTTTTCCACCACAATTGAAGAATCATTCTGAGGCGGAGCTCGAAATGCAGAAAAAGACCGCCATTAAGGTAATAAAAGTCCTTCGACTTGTCGCGAAAATAACAAATTTAACAGCTTTTAAGTCCAAAGTGTTCAAGTTTTGTTCTCAATTTCACGCAAAAGACAGATTAAACAGCCTTTAGGTCTCAAGAAGTCCGAGAAAGTAACAAATTTAGCAGCTTTTAAGTCCAAAGTGTTCAAGTTTTGTTCTCAAGTTCACGCAAAAGACAGATTAAACAGTGTTTAGATCTAAGAAGTTCGAGGTTTATTCGTAATTTCACTCAAAAGGTGAATTGGAAGGCTTTTAAGTCTCGAGAAATTCAAGTTTTATTCTCAATTTCACGCAGAAAACATATTAAACAGGTTTAAAGCCTCAAGGAATTCAAGTTTCACTCACAAGTTCACGCAAAAGGCAAATTAGAAGGCTTTTAAGTCCCAAGAGATTCAGCTTTTGCTCACAATTTCACATAACAGGCATTTTATGCAGCTTTTAAGTTTCATGAAGTTCAATATTTATTCAGTTTTCCACCACAATTGAAGAATCATTCTGCAAAGAGTTAAATATATTCTTTATTTAAGCGAAAAGGACAAATTGTGCAGCTTTTAAGTCTTAAGGAATCCAATGCAGACTCGAGACCCATATAATTCAGCTTTCCAGTCCCAAAAGGTTTTAAATATTCAGAAATATTCAGTTTTTCAGATTCAAAGAATTGAATTTATTCACGATTTCAGTGCAGCAGCAAATTTTGCAGCTTTTAAGTCTTTAGGAGTTCAAATAATTCGGATTTCCATTCCGAAGATGTTCAATAAAATTGCTTAATTCAGGATCCAATTAATTCAGCTCTCCAGTTCCAAGGCTTTTGCAATATTTATCCAAGTTCAGAATTAAGTAATTCAGCTTTTAAATGTGAAAGCATTCAGTTTAGTCATTTAGACTCAAGAGTTAAGTAATGCAATATTTCAGTTT